TGAGGCAGGAAGATCTCAAGTTCAAGACCAGTCTCAGCAATTGAGCAAAACCCAAAGCAATAGCAAGACCCTGTCTCAAAATAAAAAGTAAAAAAAGGGCTTGGAGGTACCTCAGTGGTAAAGTATTCCTAGGTTCAATTCCCCATACCAGAAATAATAATAAAAAAATAAAATAAAACTGCTATTTTAAGGCACCTCAAAGAGCTTCAAGAGAATACAGAGAAATGATTCAGTACTTTTCTATTTTTTAATTTTCTTAATTATAGATGAACACAATACCTTTATTTTATTTACTTATTTTTATGTGGTGCTGAGGATCGAACCCAGTGCCTCACATGTGTTAGGCAAGTGCTCTATCACTAAGCCACAAACCTAGTCCAGAGTCAATAGTCAATACACTTATAGACAAACTTCACAGAGAAATAGAAGCAATTTTTTAAAAAACTAAACAGGAATCCTTGAGTTGAAAAATATACTAAGAGAAATTTAAAACAATAGCAGGACAGATCAAATATAGGATTAGTGACCTTGAAGACAGGCTATTTGAAAATACAAAGCTGAAGGAAAAAATGAGAGGAACAGAGAAAGCTTATGGAAATTTGGGACAGCATTAAGAGCAAATATTCAGGTTATTGGGGTTCATGTGTGACAGGAGAATGTCAAAGGGGTAGAAAGCTAGTTCAAAGAGATCTAACAGAAAAAAATCCTCAAATCTAAAGAAGAATACAAATATCTTAGTACAGGGAAGTCAAAGGTCACCAGTCAGATTCAACTGTACCATGTCTACCCCAAGACATATTATAACCAAGCTCTTGAAGGTTAAGGGCAAAGAAAAGATTCTCAAGGCAGCAAGAGAAAATAAGCAACACTTAAGGATTTCCCAATTCACCTGCTTTGTAGGGCAAGATAGAGTGGCAAAATTATTTCACAGATTGAAGGAAAAAATCCTGCCAACCAAGGTACCCCCCCAAAAGTACCATATCTAAAGATATCCTTTAGAAATAAAGAGAGATAAGGACATTCCTAGACAAACAAAACGGAGAGACTGTAACTCCACCAGATCATTTTAACAAGAAATGCTAAAGGAAGTTCTTTGAACTGAAAGAGATATTAATGAGTAAGAAGAAAATTCTGGATGATACAAAACTTACTAATATGAATAACTATATAGACAAATTCAGAATGTTCTCATATTGTAAATATGGTATGTAACCATGTACATTTTAATAATGAAGGAAAAAAAACAAAATGATTAGAATAACTACAGTAATGTTATGAGATAGACAATATAATAAGATATAAAATGGGCCATGGAAAAATTCAAAGTGTGGGGAAGGATAGAGTGCAAGTATAGAGGATTTTTTGTTTGTCTTTTAATTTGTATTTATTTCTTTCCTTTCTTCCTCCATGGAAATTATCTTGTTCTTGAAAAAATAATGGGTCAAGGAAGAATGCAAAAATTCTCTGATATG